AGCAGGAAGAAAGACTGTCTTTTTAGTATCATTGGTTATTCACGTCTTAAATTCATTAATTCAGTGGAATTTGTCCAGCAGCATAAATGGGGAGAGAATTAGACTCAGTGTTTTCGAGTGAAAATGCTTCACGATGACATTCCTTACATTGTAGGTCTGCTGCTATTCAAACAATATGTGATACAGGTATACAATGGCCTTTAACTTCCTGAATGCTTATGCAGTGTGTTTTTCATCAAACCATTTGGATTAAACACATGAATTACACTAAAAACAGATCTGCATTATAAGCGTGAACAATACCTGAGAACCTCAGGAAATCTTCTAGGTCTCAGGTTTGTAATGGAAAAATAAACATTGTACTATGTTTCCTCTCAGATACGGCTTTTCAATTTGTTTAACTTTAATGGGTTTTAAACTTTCCAACCATGCTTCCTCTCAGGAGAGAGCACTTGAGATTCAATCTGTCTCCATTTTCTAAGTGTTTCCTTCTGAGTCCCTGTGGGTCACAGCCTCCAGCCACTTTCATCTCTGAACCAAACCTGTTTTTTATGGCTTACAGTGAATGGCTTCATGGCTCTAGAACATCCTACATGTTTTAAGAGTAAATATTTCAATTCTGTCTTACATATGTTTTCCAGTGGAAAACAGACTATTACATTACAGTGTATTCTGCTTAGTAACATGCTGCATTAGTGATTTCTCTGTAGTAAGATGACTCAACTGTCAGACCTGAAGAGGCACAATTAATTTTAAATTTAACTCATGACTAGTTGAGACACATCATCCACCTCAAGCATTGCATAATCAACCAGCTGCACTTAGCTGGATATGTTAGACTTCACAAAAGGTGATGTGTCACCCTGTCACATCAAAACTCAAGACAGCCACTTTGATTCATCTGTCCCTGTGGGAGCTGAGATACAATTCATGAAGCCATATAAAGACTGAATAGTTGACTCTAGGTTTATAAGCATGCCAACAAAGAAATAAGGAATGCATGCTTAAACTGTGTTTTTATTTGATGTAAACCAATATAAATCCACAAAGGACAGATGCTTTTATTTTTTTTATTCATTAATACAGCAGCAGGGCAGATTAACCAATCAACCTAGAGTTTTGTAATAACTAGCTAATTTGAATTGATTGCTGCTAAAGGAAGTCAACCTTGGCCTTTTAAAAATTTCTTCAGCACTTGTAGATTTATTTTACAGCAAGTCTTACCTCACAGTAAGTGTGGCAGACAGTCTGTAACTCTCAGGGACATTGCCTCTAACAGCCTTTCTTTGTGTAAAAGCCTGTCAAAACCAGTGTAATGCTAACACCTACTCTGTCTTCAGTTATGATGTCGATACTTTTCCAAAATGTTATACAAACACAAAGGTTTTGTGTGCTGAAGCCAGAGATGCAGGTGAACTCAAGCTTAAATGCTGACAGAGAGGGCCAAAGTTTTGATATTCACACAGTAATTTCCAAGGAGTTTAAGGGCCAAAACCAACGGCATGATCCAGCTGTTGTGCAGTGCTCTAGGAACACAAAGCAGCTGTAAGGATGACTGAGTTTTAATTAGAGCAGCGTGAAGGAGCCAGAACATACCAGTGATCTTGGCTGAAATCCTGTGTGCTGGAAAGGAGTGCTTAATATTATCATTTTGGACATCCGTCTGTATTTCTGATAGCATCACGCTAAAGAAGAAAAATTTCTGACCAGTTGCACATTATTCCAGTATGCAAATACCAAAATCCCCAAACTTGCATATCTGTTGTTTCACCACGATTCACTATGATTCCAGAATTGATTCTGGGGACACTGCCAGTCTAACACTGGTAACAAATGTCCTCCTGCTGTCTGCCCTGATCACGTCGCTGTATCTCGCAGCATTCCTGATCTGCTGAAGGGATTGTGTTCCCTGAAGAAATATCTGGTATGATTTATAATGACTTTAGCATTTAATATTTAACTCTACTGTTTTTTTTCCCACCCCTCATCATATTGCATATTAAACTGGAAACCTTCCTAACAGTCTCCAGTCAAACAAGACGTCTTTATATGATCAGTCACCTTGATTTTGACTTCTGTTGGCTACTCAATTCAATATGTGCTCACAGCATCGGTACTTGGCATGGGAACTCTTCAGCCTCTCCTCTGTTTCACTCGTTTGTTAAACTTTAAGCACAAAGGACAAATGCTATGTTTATTTATTTGAGTCTGTATTGTTGTTCTGGGCACAGGCCCTTCGGTTTTCACAAGTTAGCAATCCACACAAGATTTTATAAAACAACCGTTATATTAGTTTTACTGACATCAGGAGGAAATCTGTAAGGAATTTGCTGAGTAGGGTGTCAGGAGAGGACAGGCTGCATGCTGTTCCAAACCTTTCCCCCATAGACCACAGTTTATTCTCCTTATACGTCTTGAAATGACAGGTTAGATTAGGCTTCATTACTAGTGCTATTAGAATCAGATAATGCAAAAGGGTTCTTTGAACTTAATGTGTAGTCCCTCATGCTAATTAGACATGCTGAGTTTGGCTCCACAGTGGTTTCCCTTAAAAAAATAAATAAAAAAATAAAACTTAAAAAAAGTTATAATACATAAACACACACAAAATTGATTTACAGCCATGAAATGATTCTTGCCTTTGGCTAT